CGCCGCCACTGCTCTCAACACCGCATCGGCTCTCATCGCCGAGACTACTGACACAACTTGTATTACTGTTACCGCTATTACTACGACTGGTGACACTCTTATGGCAATTATTACTATTATTATTGTTGTTATTATTGATCACTCGTTGTCTGTGACCGGAATCGCTGGACTGTCGCCGACGACAGCACTCGCGACCTTTATTACCGGACATGTGATAAGTCAATGACATTGATTTATAACATCCGTTGATATAATCTCCTTCATTAGACTTCTGGTGCTCCGACACCACGTCGTCTTCGTTATCATCAAAGATTGGTATCACATAATTGACGTCATCGCCGATGGATCTGCTCTTGTCTTTGGTCAGTTTGGGAGCAGTGGTGACGGGAAGGGGTGGTTCGGTGTCACCCCTTCGCACTTTGAATTGCTTTCGGGGCGACGGTGTGGTCGTCCGTAGACCGGCAGCACTGGTACCGCCGCCTCCGCCTCCCATCGTATCCAACATCGTTACCGACATGTTTGGAGTACACGGCGCTGAACTCCTGGACCTACTATACCGGTGCGACCTGTGCTGAGTCGTGGCAGCGGTGGCGCCGTCGACGTTGAGGCCAACACTCCGGCTGTTGGACCGACAGTTGGCCTTATATTGAGCCCAATTAGTAATGGCTCTCTTCAGTTGTCTCATAACTTCCTGACCACTACTCGTCCGGAACGAGAAGACGCCCTCTCCTGTCGAACAGCGCCTAAAAATTATATAATAATTATTGTTTTATTTATGTTTTTGGTCTTGACTTTGGTTTTAATTGTCGCAAAAGTTATAAATATATCGTTAATCTCGTTATAAATATATCGTAAACAATATTACCGGTTATTATTATACTGTATTAATCCTTTTTCCTGTAATCTAATCCTACGCCTAATATAAATGGGAAAATATATTTATCTGTGAATTAGACTTAAATGGTTACGAATTAACATAATATGTAAACAATATTGAATATTCAGTGAATTTTATCGATTTTATTTTACTTTTAGTGTTTTTGTTATTATTTTTTTACTGATTAAATATTTTTGTACAAAAAATGCAATTTTTCTTTTCATATGAAAAATATTTACTTTTATATCAATTCTGGGATATACAGGTTTACATTAAATATTATTTGCTATACAATAGGGCACAGGTAGTCACATATTTACTTTTAACTGTATAACATAATACAAGTATGTCATATATTGCATTAGAAATAATATTCTACATACATTTCATATTGAAAAGATTGAATAGATATTTTGCAAATCTTTTATCAATTTTGATATATGATTAAAAACTTAATAAAAATATATATGTCTTTGAACCGATATATTGCATAAATCTCGGTATTTGTTTGACTTATTGTCTGCATATTTGTAATATTTATTTGTTTGAAAATTCATAAAATATTTGTCAAATCTATTGAATTAAATGGTTTACAATAAAAGCACTTTACGTTGTGCCATTATGCATTTTTTAAATAAATGTATTTAGACTTGATCAATTAATGTACTGGCTTAAAATAGGGCATAATGTATTTGCCCATGCCCATTATAATACATGTTATAAATCTTTGTGCTTTACTAATACTACTTCTTTAACTACAAATAGTACTATTGATCGCAAATCCATTATAAAATATTTTTAAATTTGAATTATAATTACAACACTTAAAAATGAAGCATTTCTATAAATTATTATTTATAGCATTACTTATAAGTTTTAATAGAATTTTTGGATTATAATAATGCAATTATTAAAACTATTTAAAACAAACATTTTGCAATCTATATGCTTGAGGTAAATGTTGTTTATATAAAATTTAAAATAAATGCAAAATCTCATAGATATTACGTCAATCATGCATTACATTAACGCAAATATTGTTTATAAGTTGTTATATAATATACAGTATGTATTATGAAATCACAGAGGAATGTATTTAAAATTAATAATTTTTGTTTTTTTACTTAACAATGTATGGTTTATATTATATGAACAAGTTTAACGATATACCATTCTATAATTAGCAAGTTTGTTTGCACAAGGCACAAAAAGCACATTGTTTATTTATCATTAACTTGCAAAAGTGGGCGTAAGAATGTACCAAAGATTTCTTATGGCAATTAATAAATAAACAAATATAGTAAACTAATATAACTTAAATAAATATAATGAATTTGATGACATACCGGCCCACTTCCAGAGTGACCACTGTTTGTCTTTTAGCGCATTTATTGTTGGATTGGCTGATAATAACCGGATTGTTATTATTCTTGCTATTTTTGACCGACTCGTGTCTGTATTGTCTGATGAAAGCGATGGGCCATAAGAGAAAGCACTCGTAGTCGCCAATGCGGGCCACACCGACCCCTCGGGTGAATATAACGAGCTGTAACTGACCCCTCAGACACGCCCTCT